ACACTTTTTAGCGCGGACCCGACGTCCATATAATTGTAAGTCAATGGAATATCTACAACAATTCGCTTCTTAGTTTCTTAACGTTGAGCGACATCTAGGCGCCTAAAAAAGAATTTCAGTACCAAAGCATTGTTATGATCCACATTTAGTTTACGTAATATCAAATGTACTGATTCAACCGATTTGTAATAAGCTAATAAAATATTAACTACTTCATTGCAAATAATTAAGTCGATAATTTCTTCTCCAAAATGCCTCACGAGAAAATGATAAAACTGACAAAAAATGCTCAAAATCAGGAATAAAGGCACGTTTCACAAAAAATTATTTGTGTCCGAGATACCGGTGCAATATTCAGTGGTATATTTTTAAATAACTCAGGTTTTTTGTTATGGCTTAACTTCATGCCTTTTGATCATACCAGTATACAAAATAATTTCCTCTGAACTTTCGTCACGTCACAAAGCCCCGGCACCATTCAGCTTCTATTAACTCTGTTTAAGGCTTCTGTAGTTTATTTTGATATAATAATAACCGTATATATTTTATTCAATTCGTAACAGATAACCTCCAAAACTTCAAACTGGAATATCTTTTCGAGTTCTTAGGTTCATAGTTCTTAAGTTCTTAGGCCCGACATTTCGGGCCCTTTACAGGTCCCATGGTCACGGTTGTTTGAAAAAAAACAATATACGCGATTTAAATTCGGAAAAATAGTTTCATTTCCTATGGAATATCTTTAATTCCTGTTTTCTCAGAATAGTAAACCCAAACCAAAATTTGTTCAGGAATTTCGACTCTATATTTTTACATACTTTTCATAAACAGACGCATACAAATTAAGTCAATAAAAAATCATATGAGAGTTTGCCATTGTCCTTTAGTCGACGAAATGTAACAAATGATTAACCTATAATTTTTACTTGTCCCACTATAATAGAGTTATGAAAATGTATTACACAAATTCCCGTTGTAGCAAATGTAATATTAACGAGAACACAGTTAAACGTTAGTGATAGCGTAATTGCATGTTAATTAACCGTCCATTCATTTAACTGCATCTATTGCATAGCGTGGATTAAGGAAAATTTATTCTTGTATTATAATTGTTGACTCTTATTACATTTATATCAATATTCAACGCCTGTAGCGTCGGGTCCGTTCGTTATTGCGTGTATTCAAAGAGTTTTTAATATAGTTTTTGTAGCATTATAGAGATTCTTGTGAAAGAGTTCGACCAGAGAAGTACTGCCACTTTTTAAACGACTTCAAAAAAAGGAGAAAGAAAGAAGAACAAATTTAATGGATTCTAACATTGACTTACAAATAAATGGACGACGGGTCTAATACAAAAACCACGAAAAAAATGTCCCAAGTCAACCTATTTAAACGTAGTGACATGTAAAGGAATATGAAAAAGCTAAAACGATGAATTTAAATTGTAATGTCATCGCAGTACTGTCTAATTTTGCTTGCTTCGCTGTCAGTCGAACAAACGAAGACTAAAGCGTGAATGACGCTCTGTATACGATTTTAACGCCCTAGAAGTTCGGACTCTTTTTAGCGCGGACCCGACGTCCATATAATTGTAAGTCAATGATTCTAATGCTCTTTTTGGCTCACCGCCCACTTGGGCAAGATAAAAAAATTACAACGCCCATCACCATAAAAAATAATTGAAGACCAGACCACTTTGGGGGTCATCGACCTAGTTCTATTAAAAATGTGTATAATATAATTTTCTTCTAAAAACAACACCCAAACAAAACTCACCTGGTTCACATTTGACTTGAGAATTCACATCTTGCGAATGCTTCCTCTTTTTACTACTCGGCTCTTGAAGATTCGTGTACACAGGCGTTAAGGCATCATGTCCCAACGACACCAACTGAGGATTTATGATACCCTGATCCAAATCAGGCATCTCTACCCTCATTTGATTGTATCTGTTTTGATACGGATCTAAAAGATCATGTCTGACAGTTCTTATACCTAGCTCAACTATATTGGGATCCTGTGGTAGAACTACAACATCATTTAGGTTGCTTCTCAGGACATCGTGGTCTATAGAATCTGATTTTAATTCTTCGTAGATGTAATCCCCATTTTGTTGCAGTATCTCGTGTGTGGGCATGTGGTCGTGGACTAACATGTAGTCGGAACCAAGTACACTTTGAGATACTGCTATGGCGTGGGGAACGTGGGTTTCCGACGGACTGTAAGGATTCTCTGATCCGGAGTCCGGTGGACTTTCTGGTAATTGGTGGCCCCTGCAAGAGAAATTGTATAATTAGACATGGTTATTTGTCACATTTAAGGAATCACTACACTGGTTGACACGGGATAACATATATAATAATGTTTATTGTTATAAAGCAGCTATAACATAAGCCCCCTTTACATAACCACTCTTTCGCGCGTGATCAGGAGCGTACAGGATTGCGCGCGGGAAAGCCTGCACGCGCAATTGTCCGTGTTCGTTTTTGTTACAACGAATAGAGCGTCCGTGTAAAGACTAATAGCTCAGGATAGACCGCGAAACTGTTGCGCGCATGTCGGAGAGCGCGACTGATGAGTCTTTACACGCATATGAATGCTATATCACGCGCGATAGAGTGTCTGTGTAAAGCCCGCTATAGACATAAAGTCCCTGGCACCTGAGCTAAGTATAACCTGTTTTACAGGAGTTAGTATCCTCACAACAATTGACACCGCCATTTGCCTATTTTTTAACAATTACAGTACGTTATTAAATATGAAGTACACATTATATGTTTTATTGTGTGCGTGCGTGTAAGTATATGAGTGTAAGTTCGTTTGCGTGCGTGTGTGGGGTCACATTAAGCCGGTCAGAAAAAGCTATACCTATATCAAGTTAACTGTAACTACTATTGGGTAATTTTCCGAAATATTTCAAATACTTAGTGGAAATTTATCCGGAAAAATTCCCGAATAATTGGAAAATTATAACTTGGAAGGTCCATATTATGTTTCACGTTTAGAACTATGTTTTGAAGTTTTATTTAGCGTGAATTTTAAAATAAACTTGTATAGCTAAAAGCCGCATAGAGAAAAAACGAGATTCAAAATGATTTCACAACAGCGAAAAATAACCTCCAACACCACACCACCACCGCTTGTTGTTGGTTCCATCGTTTTCGTTCAGTAACTTCATTGACAGGTGTCAACGTCAAATATGGAAAAATATTGGAAAAAGTCGTTGAAAAACCAAATACAAAGACACGACGCAAGCACATAGAAGAATTCGTTGGGTCCGTTGGTTCATTCCGTGGCTTAGTTGGTACAGCGTCTGGCACGGTACGAAAGAAGACGTCGGTTCGAATCCGACCGGATCGAAGGATTTTTTTTGAAATTTTTTTGGATTTTTTCTGAGTGTTCGATCTTTGTATCAATGATTACAACAAACCAGTGGAGTAATTTCACAAAAAATAATTGAATATCAATTCAATAAAAATTTAAAATATTTGAAAAATATTTTTTCAACATGGAAATTTTTCCATGACCCAACACTGACTGTACCTATAACTTAGACCTTTTCAAGGCGAGAATGAATAGGCATTTACTGCACGCTCCATCGTAGACTTCATCGTCATTTCCATCAGGTGAGATAAAAGTGTAATAATGTACGCACTTATTTCTGCTAAAAAGAACTTCGTATTGCTGAACTAGCAGCGGAGTAAGTATAAGAATAGAATGGCCTAGCGCAGCTCTTGAAACATTAAAATACACAATAATGTCCGGATGTTTAAACTTCAAACCATTACAAATGAGAAAAGAAGTGTGAAGAATGGATTCCAAAGCCCCGTTCGATAAGATGCCTGTAACATTGATTTATTTCACCTCATACTGTTATTTATATTAAAACATTCACATAAACGCTTATCTTATTACAGCTTAAGAGTGTATATTAAGAGTGGCTTTAGTTAATTCCTCATATCAGTCAAAGTGTTGAATCAATCGCTTTGAAAAAAATATATAGTAAACTTGAGGATATATACTCATTACTATACGGTGTGAAAGGTGAAAACCTTAGAATAATAACGCATAGAAACCTAGTCCGCACACGCTAAGTGAGGCAAATTGAAGCGCTCCCAATGGGCCTACACGAGCGGGCGGGCCTTCAGTGCTCAAGGCCAACTTGCACCGCGAACAGCTCAAGAATTTTAGCTAAAAATGACGAAATGTGCGGTAAATGAGTGTAAAAATACGTCAGACAAACATAAAATAGATACTAACATCACATTCCACAAGGAAGTAACGCGTTTCAACTTGTATTTTTATATAAATATTCTCTAAAACCGAAAATTAACCTATACTAAAACTAGCCTACATGAATTTGATTTTTGCCTCACTTGTGACAGTTCGTTTGATATGAAACTATCATTCTATGCGTTATTATTCTAAGGTGAAAACAAGATTTCTAAAAATTTCAGGATAGAAAAAAAAAACAACCTGGAAATTTTACAAGAAAACCGCTGCATTCAATAGGTACTTTACATATACCAATTACTTTTTTAATATCAACTGAAGTTAATGGAACACGTGTAGTACACGATATACATTTTTCAAATTACTTTAAATTCATTTGTTAGAAAATAAATTCTGAAATAAAGCCAGTGTCCCTACCGCTCAACCGAAGCAAAATGAACCGTATTAGTATACGGGAAAGTTTTGAATTCGAGCTTAGCATTAAACAGATATTCTCACCATGCAACAAACACAACCTAATTCAAAATTTGCTTCGTAACTTATAACATACTATTAGTAGCCTACTTTAAGTACTATATTATCACAGTTTTACGATATAAGCCTTCAACCCTAATTTCATCCCCTTTCAAATCCTTCTCCTAGGTCCCAACCATCTCTGTACCAAAATTCATTACAATTGGTTCAGTGGTTTAGGCGTAAAAACGCAATAGAGTTACTTTCGAATTCATAATTTTACTTTGGATTTCATACTGAAGACATGGCTTTATACTTAAATTAAATTTTTGAAGAAAAACTATAATCTAATTTCTGGCAGTATGGTTTAGACGTCTTGCCTGTACCGAAGGACGAAACATTTTGCGGTCATTCTCGGTTACTATCTAAAATCCGTGGCAATTTTTATTATTTAAAAATTGTATTATATTATTACGTAATTATTAAATTAGTAGTTCGTATAACTGTTAAGTAATGAAAGGCATTAAAATACGAGTGAGGGTTTCATAAAAACATTTCACGAGTGTTTTAATGCCTAATTTTGAACAGTTACATACACTGCTTTATATACACACATATTATAAGCTATCTGTGATGTGTTCAAGAACCGCATGTTACGACTGGCGAAATGGCGACAAATAAAAACTTTTCTCACGCATGTCACACAAACGTAGTTTTTATTTTTAATTCATAGACAACCCAGAATCGTCCCCAATTATCATATCGTTCGATATCAAGTAACGTGTGAAATTGTCAAAATTGTTTGCCTTTGACATTTCATTTCGAATAAAACTTCATCTCGACTGATATTAGGATTGAGGTCCAATCAAATTATTTTGTTTTTCAGAGATGTTCGAAATTTGAATGTAATAATAACATCGAATTCGATGTTATTATGAAGCAATTATAACATTTTCACAGATAATAAATTTGTTCAAACAAAACAGTTTACCTTTATGCTGGTCGTAATTTGCGGTTTTTGAACACTATACCTAGAGTTTATGATATGTGTGTAGATAAAATACTTCACGGTACAGTACTCGTATATTAAATAATATTGAACGATACAAAATCGTATACTTAAATAAGTGATAATAATATTTGATCTTCAAAGAAACAATTGATCTGATGTAAATGTGCACTTATTTGAAATAAACTATATTTTTTATGTTTGATATATATTATGTATATTAATTGTTCCATCTATATTAGTCCATCTACGGATAACTTATAACTGAACTCCATTCGAAGTAACACTGTTATGTAATATTATTATTGTGTATTTGGTATTCAAAAATAATATTTGATCCTCTATTATGGGTCCTTTCTTTAAACGATTGATAACTTTTCCATAACCAGTATAACTTTTGATGTTGATCTCCTAATAAATCTTGCTTGTTTCGTTGCGCCCTCCATTCAGTAGGTTAGGTATGTATATGAAAAAACAGCTCGAGCCGACCGAGCGAAGCGAGCGCGCCGCGGCAACGGCCGGAGAGTTCAGATGGAAATTTTCTCGAGTTTCCGAACATATTTTTAGGTCATATTGTATTATTATACATTACTTTTAAAAATAAGTATCTAAATTTTGTTGTAATGCATTTGTCTTAGGCCTCAAAGGCCCAACATAAAACTATAAAAGTGAATTTATACAAATCAAACATTTCTGGCGTAACTCAGAACAGATTAAAATATCAATCGATTTAGTTTATTTTACGTCTCAGTGAAAGAGGATCAATCATTAAAAAAGATGATCGTTTAGATTTTTTTGCCTGCTGTAAGTCATTTAAATACACAAATAATAAAAATTGCCACCGAAATTAGGTAGTGAACACTAGTCGGAGAATGATCGTTTGCTGCTAATTAAAAATAGTGTTGAGAGTATCTAGTATAATACTAGTTACGTTGATCCATTACTTACCCAAGCCGGCGAGTGTCGAGAGTCTGCGTTCCGTAGCAGCCCTCGCCGACGGGGGCCATGAACGCCTCCAACTCGTCTATCAAGCCTGGGCCTGTAACAAAAAAGAAAACGATTAATTGATAGTAGTTTATGTGACTGTTATATAACGAAAGTCATTAAAATATGAGTGTGGGTTTTTGAAACGAACCGATAGACGAGTTTCATAAAAACATGTCACGAGTATTTTAAGGCCTAATTATGTACAGTTACATACACTGCTTTATCATATTACTATAAACATATCATAAGCTCTCTGTGATGTGTTCAGGAACCGCATGTTACGACTGGCGAAATGGCGACAAATAAAAACTTTTTTCCCGCATGTCACACAACCGTAGTTTTTATTTTTAATTCATAGACAAACTCGAATCGGCCCCAACCATGATGTCGTTCAATATCAAGTAACGTGTGAAATTGTCAAAATTATTTGCTATTGACATTTCATTTCGAATAAGACTTCGTCTCGACTGACATTAGAATTGAGGTCCAACCAAATTGTTTTGTTTTTCAGAGATGTTCGAAATTTGAACGTAATAATTAAATCGAATTCGATATTATTATGAAGTAATAATAACATTTACACAACAAAATTTGTTCTAACAAAACAGTTTATTTTTAAGCTGGTCGTAATTTGCGGTTTTTGAACACATCATAGAGGGTTTATGTTAAGTGTGTGGATAAAACCATAAACGCCCCGTTTACTCTGAAAGATATACAGACAAAATAATAATATTTCAAGATAAACTAAAACCTTTTGGCAATTTTCTTTTTAACCACTCGAGTTTTCTGAATAATTTTCTACCAAAAAAATGTGTCGTCCTCTATGGAATCTTTGACAATAATACCACTATTTTAGATGGCCAGCCTATTTTTAGTCTATTTTTTATTATTTATCTTTATTTCAGACAACAGGGTCCATAAATTTGTTAGACACAAATTAGGGGTCATTCCCGTCTGATCCCCTGAACTGATCCACCGCCAATTGGGATTCAACCCAACTGATACCCTCTATATTTTGCAACTCCCAACTTCAAGATAAAAAGAAGTTTTAAAATCAAATATCCATTCATTGAATGTTATTATAAAATTATCAGACAATATTTTTTTGAGACATTACTTTGACATATTGCAAATCACAAGTAACAAAAATTAGTCTTATGTAGTATTTAAGAAAATACAAAGGGTTAAACACTTTGAACATGAAAGTATGCTTAATGTTGTTCATTTCTAATAAATTAAATAATACTGAAAAGAATACTGTACACCTGTACAATCTAAATTCAGTAATCAATCTCAACTAACACAAACTTCATCGCAAAATGTAAAGCAAACCATTTTCACATAACAAACCAGTAGGAGTATAATTACCTTATTTCGGGATAGGCTAAGGTGTCTAAACCATACTGCCAGATCTTACTTTCACTTTTCTAATTACGCAACATTTAAAAATGTCAGTAGACAAAATTAACGTAATCAAAGTTAGACCTAAATACTATTACGCGTGACAAACCAGCTGTAAAATATCAATTGCATTAAATTACAACTCAAATCCGTTTGCATCACGACATCATAAAACACCTTGCAGATGCGCAATAGGGTTGCGACAAAATGAAGTTCTAGTCCATTATGACATGATATTAATACTTCTTGGAATTGGTTTTATATGTACAAAATATTTTATGTACTCATGTACAGTGTAATCTGATGATGCTTGATTATTTTATCTTAAACGCCATTGTTAAGTATAACGTGTATACAATCACATAGTTGATATGTCTCGCCTAAACTCACTAAGTTAAGGACAATCACGTAATGATATATGAAAAAATGTATTCATCACTATCGTAATAAATACCTTAAAGGACATAGTGAAAGGTTGTTTTTTTTATTGGGTTCGAATCGGAACTCGCATCTCTGAGTGCGAAATTTAATTTGAAATTTATCATGATCTGTTCGGTGAAGGACAACATCGTTAGGAAACCTGCACGTCGAAGAAGGTTTGCCACCCCTGGCAAAACGTGTGAAGTCCCTAACCCGCATTGTGCCAGCGTAAACCCTCGCCTGAGAGAATACTTGTGTCCTGCAGTGGGACGTATACATTTTTTTATACATAATATAAATCTACACAATGAATCGAGAAATACTACTACTAATGCACATTTCACAGTCATATAAATACTTATTATTAAGCAAGTTTTTGCAGTATAAACATATCAAAATTTATTAGAAGCGGTAATTTGTAAGTCTAATAAAATATTTATGGTATCCTGTAATTGGAGTAATTTTTGTTAAAAGTTAATTTATTTGAATGTATTTGTGTTTAAGTTACTGTATTATAAGCTGTTGGATGCCCGAAATAAATAAATAAATAAAATATCACACTAAGTGACAGGACAAAAAAGTGGTCCGCCTGGTGCTGGTGTCCATAGCAGTTCCAGTGCCATTCAGAACTTAAAATCGCATAGATCTCATGTCGCTTTCGCGCAAGTCAAGTCTTGACGTGGTACTCTACTGAGTACACTGCCACTGCGCCTGTCACCCTGATGTGCTTGTAATTGCACCAGCAACCTTACCCTTTGAAACCCAAACGTAGTATGCTCACGTTATTGCTTGGCGGCAGAAATAGATAAGGTGGCAGTAGCTCCCTGAACGAACTTTTTCTCAAGGCTCTACTGCTATAAAAATAGGTTTATGACGATGATTATAATAACAACGCACAGACTCAACATAGCCCCGCACTAGGGAAATCCTGTAGAGTGCCATGGGTACACACATAGACAACCACAAGTTACATCCAAACTCACGGGAGAAATAAATGTAGGCCATACAAATATTTCTCCCGGCACAGGAATCGAACTTGAGACTCTGCGTGACAGTTCGGCATGGTAACCGTTCGGCCACTAAGGCAGTTAATTCTAAAGATTCAGACGAGAATAGACAATAATCACACATCGTCATTTAAAAAAAAGAATGTACCGTAGCTGAAAAATGCATCCCTAGTCCACAGTCACTGACATTGAAATCGCAGCAGAATAAATCACAGAGTGAAAGGAAAGGTAAACGACATGACTGCACATGTGTTATTTGCGATCAGCTAAATTGCCATTGTCTATTTTACAGCATTATTCGTTTGAAACCGATCAGGTTTTTCTATTGTTTACTTGTGTTAATTTTCAATGCATAGTTAATCAAATTGTCGATTATTTTAAAGAATAATTGATAAGATAATGCGTATGAAGAGTAACTTTTGTCTGTTGTGTCATTTCAATTGTCAGAAAGTCTAATATTTAGTTTTTTGTTGTGCGACTTATGTCATGCTATGACAAGAGTGATGGGTAGTCAATGAGAAATTCTCAATTAAAAAGTAGGCAGGTCGTATACCTGTGGCGGCATGTACCAACGACTTTAAATTTCCTAGTTTAATCTTCTAAGGCCCTGTGGACATCTAAATGTATACACATTGTGAGAAATTATTCAGACTCAGATAATATTAAAACTTTTGCAGCGGGGGCACCGCTAAATTGGTTTATTTCAGCTACTTTCACAGTTTAATGACAGACGGCATTTTGCTTTGGGGTAATGCCGCCGATATCAACAGAATCTTTGCCCTGCAGAAACGTGCGGTTAGGGCAATTTACAATCTGGACCCCAAAGTATCTTTGAGACGTACACTAGCGTCACATTACATTTATGAAAATGTATTTTATGGGAAATGAACCTATTTAAATCGCGTATATTTGTTTTTTCAAACAAACCAACGTTTCGGGCCCTTTACGTGTCCCATGGTCACGGTTGACTGGGACCCGTAAAGGACCCGAAACGTTGGTTTGTTCTGTCTGTAATTTTACCAGCGCCCTTACCCTTCAAAACCGGAACGCAGTAATGTTTACATTACTGATTGTCGGCTGAAATGTGAAGGCGACACTACTTTCCCTGGATGAACTCTATCACAAGGACCTCTACTGCTACAAAAAGAATTAAAGTAATACAAAGTTTTTATTATCGATATCAATTTAATAGTTACTGAAAGTAACTATTCCGATGCAGCTACAATAAAACACCTGGTTCGAAAATCAAAAATTATTCACAGGACAGATGCATTGTCACAGTTCAATGGTCACATCGGGGTTTTCACACGATTTTAACGAAAATTAGCTTTAGCGTTCGACAAATATAAATTGAGCTTTTGTTACAAACATTTTATGTAAAATAAAAGTTTTTTCTAAATGGGTCTATTTTAATGGCATTGTTCAGTCAACCTTGGTGGCTGTCATCGATATGTAGGGGTGGCTTATGAATTAGCAGGTGAACGTTTTGTTTACAAATTGAATGTTTAGTGTTTTTTTACAAAACAATGTTGTCCTGTAAGTACAGCACGTGGGAGCTTTAGGTACTGTAGCGACCGTAAATTGATCTTTGTGTCTTCGATTTTGTTTACGGATGCTATCCATACAAGGAAATGTCTCCTTGTAAATATGATTAGAACTGATCATTTTGGATCTAGAAATTTATTATTAGAATATTATTAAAATGAATTCTGTTTATATTGTATTTAAAATTTGAAGTTAAATACCTAATCATCGTCATCATCATCATCAACCTATTTACACATCCCACTGCTGGGCACGGGTCTCCTCTCAGGCGAGCGTTTAGGTCAATATGGTCCGGATGGTACGCTAAATTAATTCTTATAAAGTGAAGCTTAATGGAAAGAATCACAGTTCTTGATTGAATCAATCACAACATGATTAATTAACATTACTTCAATGATTGCCGTTGCATTTAATGGATAATTATCAGGTTAGTTTACCTAATTTCGGTGGCTATTTTTATAAATAAGTATTCACATGTACTATCGTGAAATGTTAAATAATATTTTAGGATACTACACTCGAATATAAATAATACTTCGTGATAATACTTTAGAATATTGAAGTAATTGCCATCGAAATTAGGTAGAAAAACCTATCCTGAAAATTACTCTAATACGTTCAAGCGTTGTGAGCAAGAATTTTAAACAGGTAATGAATGTAATCATGTTGTGATTGATTC